CCGGACACGAAAAAATACAAAAAAAGGAAAAAAAAAAAAAAAAACAAGACAGATAAACATAAATAGAAATCCTAACATTGTATTTGCAAACCTCAAGGGATCTCCTTTCGCACTCCATTTTGGAGAGCACGCTTTATGTACACAACTTAAACACTGCCTTTTATTGGAGCAGGAATTCTGACACTAGAGAGTTCAGTCTTCTAGTGGGTTTACATGTTCAGTCAGTGTACCCTGAGTGTTCATAGTGCAGAAGTGCCCCTCTTGAAGAACTGAGCTCCTGAACTCCTGTTCATATTGGTACCCTGGACAGCACCCAACTCCTCACAGAAGAGGGAGTTTTGAAAAGCCCCTTCCTAAATGGTTGAGAGCAGCTCTCCTTCTGAATGCTTAAATAATCAAGGAGGGAGCGAGGCAAACCAATCTGTTCTGTGCAACAAACTCAGAATGTGGAACAGTTCCCTCAGCCCTCATGAAACTAATTAAACTGATCGGTATCACACTTCTACCCCACGATGAACTGAAGCAGAGTCAAGTCGATGTGGTGAAGCACAACCATGTTCTTGAGCAGCTGAGTTGGCTGCCAAGAGTCCAAGCCATCTGGCCCAACATATGCATTGGGCATTGGGTAAGGGAATCTGGAAGCAGCAGCTAGAAAGAGAAAAAGGCCCTCTTCAACCCCCATGATGATCCTTTCCTCTTCATGTCACAAAATAAAACCAGAAAGAGGAACGAAATGATTAAGTGCTTGAGGCCAGATGAGATCCCTTGATTCAAATAACCCAGAATCAGAGGCAGAGACCTCCTGGTGCCTTGGTTTCAATCAAAGTCCTCTCTCTCTCTCTCTCTCTCTAATCCTCAGGCACTCTCTCTCTCTCTCTCTGTAATCATCAGGCACTATGTTTTGGTTTGTTGTCCTGGGAGATGGAGTCAGATAGGAGAGGAAATGAACCCAAGTTTGGATAATTCGTAGAAGATGCTACTGAGCACATCTTCATGCGCAGCCCCCAGGTCTCTCATGATGTTCTTAAATGTATAGAGTGTTATAGGGTTACTCTGTGTGCTTTCTAAATATCCCATTTATGCAGTTTACTTGGAATTTGCTTAGCCCTTAATAGGCCTGTGTAATTTCCTGCTCCTCCAGTACAATAAATAAAAGATGCTAATGACTTAGTGAGTGTGCGTGTGTGCATGTGTATGTGTGAGCCTCAGTCCCAGGAGAGCAAAAAGACCAAAAGACCATTTGCAGAAGAGTGCTGGGGAATGAAAACACACACACACACACACGCACACACACACACACACACATATATTCAGGTTGGAAAACAAAGTGTGGAGTAACAGAAAGAGCAAAACTTTCAGGGTGCCACAGCCTTACATTTGAAAATTGGGACTGTGTGACCTCAGGTAAGCCATTGACCTCTCTGAGCCTTAGTTCTCTCCTCTATAAAATAAAGACTAACAGTGCCAAGTTTGTAGGGTGGCTGTGAGGATTAGATGAGATCATATAAGCAGAGCTCCTAGTACATAGCAGGTGCTCAGCAAATGAGGATTTCCTTTCCTACATGCTCAAGCATTCAGCAACGCAATGGAGAGCTCAGGGAGAGGTGCTGCAGCGGGAGTCTGCATCCCACCTAAGTCCCAGGGGCTGTTTCCTGTGCTGGATGGCCTGTGCTGTTTCCTGTGCTGGATGGCCAGGATGGGAGGCAGGGATGCTCCTAGACAAGCGTGAGTGTGCTAGGGATGTACGCTCTAGCAACTGGCTGGAAAATCGTCCTTTATGAAAACAACATCCTTCATTAAATGGTGGAGATGAGAGGTCTTTAAATAGGATGAGTGTGCAAGAGCCTGAATGGCTACAGACATCTGGACACTGGCTCTCTGAGGGACTTCATAAAAATCACAGGGTCAGGGAGGCCTCATTCATTTTCTCATTCATTCAACAAAGTATTAATTGAAGGCCTACTGTGTGGTACGTCTTTTTCTAGGTAGTAGAAGTACAGGAAAATAAAATGGACAAGGTCTCTGCTCTTATGGAACTTAAGATCTAGTAGAGGAGACAGAAATAGACATGTAAACAAAATTATAAATCTAAAATTAAAAAGAGTAGTAATTGTTGTGAAGGAAACAGTTGGGATATAGAGATGAAGGATAACAGGGATAAGGGAGGAATCTTTCTAGGATATTTAAGAAATCCTTCTCTGAGGAATGTTCCATTCTTGATATTCATAGGATCTTCAAGTTGGAAGAAACCTAAGATTTAGGTTCATCTTATTTAACCACCTACCCTGTGCCAAAAGTGACACATGGATAATAAATTTTAATATGCTTGAATACTTACATTGACTTGAATTTCCCAACATATTACTACTCCTCGGTGATTCAGAGTTGGAAAGTTCCATCTTTATGTTACGTGGAAGTTTAGGTTTCTGGACCCTTGGATCCTGATCCTGTTGTCTGCTAGCCTGGGAGTTTCTCTAGGGAAGAATTCTCCGCCACTTGAAAACAGATGACTCTTAACTATCTCAGATGGGCTAAACAAACAAACAAAAACCCAGGTAATTTGTTGGCTAGCATAAATAAAAAAAATCCAGGGATATTTAGCTTCAGGTAGGGTTTGATCAAGGGGCTGAAGAAGGGCATCAGGACCTTTCCATCACAAGGGTCTTTTCTCCTCGGTGTTGAATTCATTCTAAGCCTCATGGGCTTTTGAGGTGGCTGGCAGATGCTCCTGGCAATACCATGCAGGTCCAAGTCCTACTTACTGTTTTCATTGCAATCCCAATCAAAGTTTCATTGCATTTCATTGGCTCTGAGTGAGTCACATGTTCAATCCTGAGCCAATGCCAATCATTATGGACAGATTAATGTGATGTTCTGATGGGTCAGGAGTGAGCCACATGGACACCACTGGAGCCGGGGATGGATGGATTCAATCCATTCAAGGTAGCGGGAAAGGAAGGGGGTGGTTCTCGAGAGGAAAAGTGGAGTGTGGATCCCAGTAGGGGAGAAAAAGAGTGTCAGACCACCTAACAGTAGATGGTCACCCTCCTAGCGAGTGAAGGGGGCTGGCGGAGAGTATATGCTCTGGGGAATGGGCCTCCAGGTAGCCAGACCTTCTGATTTTCAGGAGACTGCAGAAATCCAGATCTGCATATGACGTATCTCAGTTTTTCAATGTAGGCAAGTAATTTTTAAAAAAATTACTGAGTAGGACAAACAATAGCATGTTTGGGACAAGACACATCACTCTCTCCATTATTTTGTTAAGTTCTTTCTAAATCTTTTCTTTTTTATGAGAAATAAACCTTTTAAAAAGTTTTTCCCCATATGCTATGGATTCCAGAATGCTTTTGTTCAGGACTCCCTTCTCTGAACCTGTTTCACTTGGTTGAGGAGGCATGGCCACACAGGGTGGAAAGAGCATGGCTGGGGTCACAGAAACCTGGGCTCAGGTCCACCTCCTTGGGTTACTCTGTGCAAAACACTGCACTCACTGAGCCTCAGTTTCCAATCTGTCAAGCTGGGCAAAAAATATTAACTTCACTGGATTCAGTAATATATTCAGTAATAGAAAGGGCACCTGATACACAAGAGCTATATGACACACATTGCTGTCCCCTCCTAAAGGAAGGTGCCTCTGATTACGGCATTCCTAATATCACCTGAGTGAGGCACACACCTGCAGAAGACAAAATTCTGCTGATGGTAAGAAAAGGGTGAAATTAAAAATAAAAAGCTTTTTATTGAGGTGTAACATGTGCTGTAAAGTGTAGTCA